ATCTTAATTTTCAACTGTGTAATTATTTAACAATCATTTCATTGATTTATGACAATAAAATTGTCTTTATAACAACAAAAGAATGATATTTCTCATTATTATACGTTATGCCCCCTCCTATGTACGTACACCTTCAATTATATCATAGTAATTTTCATTAATATTATAGTCAATATTATAGTTCTATCAATACTGTTATTGTATCTTAATTTTCAACTGTGTAATTATTTAACAATCATTTCATTGATTTATGATAATAAAACTGTCTTTATAACGACAACAAAAGAATGATATTTCTCATTATTATACGTTATGCCCCCTCCTATGTACGTACACCTTCAATTATATCATAGTAATTTTCATTAATATTATAGTCAATATTATAGTTCTATCAATACTGTTATTGTATCTTAATTTTCAACTGTGTAATTATTTAACTATCATTTCATTGATTTATGACAATAAAACTGTCTTTATAACGACAACAAAAGAATGATATTTACCATTATTATCATTACTTATGTGTTCGTGTTTATATTGTACTATCTATTATACTTTTCAATTACAGGCCTCACCATTGCGAACATAATTCCTATTATGATGCTGGGGCGCAAGCAGAGCCTCAAAGGGGAACCCGTCTTGGCCGATTACGGCCCAGAGGAGTCCCTCAATGAGAGCGCTGACATAGAATGGGTGAACAAGGTATATCCTAAATACATATACTACTCTTCTTGTATACTATGTACATATGTAACTATACAAACTGTATGTACATGTTGATATCAATTACTAAATAATTAATTTGGTTTGCAGCTTTGGGTGAGAAGGTTAATGAGATCTTGTGCTCTAGTATCTTTAGCTTCTGTTTGCTTGAACACTCCGAAAACATTTGAGAAAATCCCACCTCTTCAATATGTTACCTTTGTTTGCGATTTGGTTATCACGTTTCTATTCACTGCTGAGATGATCGCCAAGATGCACATAAGGGGTATACTGAAGGTAATCCGCATGATATCGTAGGTTTACGTATAACAATAAACTGACGATTATCCAGTTACAGAGGGACAAATCTTATTTGAAAGATCACTGGTGCCAATTCGATGGAAGCATGGTCATCTTCCTTTGGTTGTCCGTAATTTTACAAATGTTCGAGATGCTTGGTTTCGTTTTAGAGTTTAACTACATTTCCATATTGCGAGCACCACGGCCCTTGATTATGATACGCTTCTTACGTGTCTTCCTTAAGTTCTCCATGCCGAAGGCTAGAATCAATCAAATATTCAAGTTAGTATTGCGAAACATTCGCTGGGGGGAAATTCATTGAAAAACTTTATACTTACTTACGTTCTGTTACGTTGATTCCAGGCGTTCGAGCCAACAGATATACAACGTGACTCTCTTTTTCCTTTTCTTCATGTCCCTTTACGGTCTTCTAGGCGTTCAGTTTTTCGGCGAATTGAAAAACCATTGTGTCCTCAATACTACAGACCCGAAGAATATCACTATAAATAGTTTAGCCATCCCTGATACTTTCTGCTCCACTGATCCTGAATCAGGATACCAATGCCCAGAAGGAATGACTTGCATGAAACTTCAATTGTCAAAGTACATCATGGGTTTCAATGGATTCGATGAGTTTGGTAATGGCAAAGTCTTTACGTAGTAATAAGAATATTTCTTACAGCTTTTTGCACAAATAAATGCACAGTATAACATACCTCATGGAAATAACTTTGCTCCGTAGCTACGAGCATTTTTACCGTTTATCAAGCTGCGTCGCAGGAAGGATGGGTTTTTATTATGTACCGTGCGATAGATAGTTTGCCAGCTTGGCGTGCGGTCCTATACTTCAGTACAATGATATTTTTCTTAGCGTGGCTCGTGAAGAACGTATTCATAGCTGTCATTACCGAAACTTTCAATGAAATACGAGTACAATTTCAACAGATGTGGGGTGTCAGGGGACACATTAGCAACAACACAGCGTCGCAAGTTAGTAAGAAACCGATCAGAAAAAAAAAACGACTGATCAACTTTGTTCGTTACTCTGTTACATTACATTACATCTTCTATCTTAGATATTAACTGGCGATGACAACGGTTGGAAATTGGTAACATTAGACGAGAACAAACACGGAGGCTTGGCTTCTCCGATATGTCACGCGGTTCTACGATCTCCTCAGTTTCGCATGGTGGTTATGTTCGTGATTCTGGCGAATGGCATCACCACCGCGACCATGAGTTTCAAGCACGACGAGAAGCCAAGGCACACGTACTACGATAACTATTATTACGCCGAGATCGCGTTCACTATATTCTTGGACCTTGAGACGTTGTTCAAGATCTGGTGTCTCGGGTTTCGCAGTTACTACAAGCACTCGATACACAAATTTGAGCTGCTGCTGGCAATCGGTACAACCGTGCACATCATTCCGTTCTTCTATCTCTCTGGATTCACATATTTTCAGGTTTCTATGTTCACCATCACGTTGAGACAACTGTAGAAACATAAGAGAAACAGTGAGACGACTTAGCAGAGAAGGACTGAATCAAAATGCTCACAATGACAAACTGACACGATATATTATTTTGCATTTTTAGGTTCTTAGAGTAGTTAGACTGATCAAGGCGTCACCTATGCTCGAGGATTTTGTATATAAAATATTCGGCCCTGGGAAAAAGCTAGGCAGCCTCATTATATTTACCATGTGCCTGTTAGTCATATCGTCCAGCATTTCTATGCAGCTCTTCTGTTTCCTTCGCGACTTCACGAAATTTGAAACATTCCCAGAGGTAAAGTATACGATTCGTCGACTCTATGTTATAGTTGAATTATACTATAAATAAGACATTTCCCCTTTTAGGCATTTATGTCTATGTTCCAAATATTAACGCAAGAAGCTTGGGTGGACGTTATGGATGAAACAATGTTAAGGACACATGAAACGATGGCTCCATTTGTTGCCATGTACTTCATTTTATATCATCTTTTCGTTACACTGGTAAAAATACACGGACAACTTTACGTTAATAATTACGTTCTTCTCAATGACATGATTACTGGAAATATTTTGTTTTCCTTTTCTTTCTAAGATTGTGTTAAGTTTATTCGTCGCCGTAATCTTGGATAATCTCGAACTGGACGAGGACATCAAGAAACTGAAGCAATTGAAATTTCGCGAACAGAGCGCGGAGATCAAGGAAACTCTGCCATTCAGGTTACGAATATTTGAGAAATTTCCTGATAGTCCTCAAATGACATGCTTGCACAAGGTGCCGTCAGACTTCAATCTTCCAAAAGTAAGTATTTCGTTTTGTGCCTGGTATTCCCAAGTGTACATATTTTTTTTTTTTTTAATTCTAAGGTCCGTGAAAGTTTCATGAGACAGTTTGTATTCGAAATGGAAAACGAGGAGAACGAGGGTGTCAAGAAGATAAATGAAACCTTCGACTCAAAAATGATATACAGAAAACAACGTCCAGTGAAGATTTTAAACAATCCACCAAAAGTAAGAAACGTTGTTACAAGTCTGAAAAAGGCAGCTGTTATCTACATTATAAAGTGAGCTGTTACATTATATAAAAATCTCTGAGAATTACTTGTAAATCTTACGCTAAACATACAATATAATATATGCGTATTATGTTATTTCTCAGTGATTCAAACAATCAAAGATTATTATTAGGAGACTCGGCTATGATACCAGTACCAGGCAAAGGTCTTTTGAAGCCACAGGGCACTGTCAGCAGTGCCAAGCAACTTCGCTTCGATCAGAAAAAGTGAGACCTCAAGTTCAACAAAAATTTCTGCATCACAGTACTTAACACGTTCCGTGCCAAGCCATTTGTTGTCGTTCAGGCTATTTGATATTTTGACTAAAGGGCAATCGATAATAAGTAGTTCTCTTGTTTAGAGTAGTTATCACATCGTGTACCACTTCTGGTACACGTGGCCTCTGAAGATCAAGTTTAACGTGTACCACCGGTGGTACACATGGCACGGAACGTGTTGTAAAATACACGAAGATAACAATAATTTGTTGAAACAATCGTTTCAATAGGTCAATTAGAAGGAGCGTTCGTAGCGGATCGATCAAGTTGAAACAAACGTACGAACATCTGATGGAAAATGGTGACATTGGTGGTATAAACAGAGTCAGCTCTTCACGTAGTAGACCGCACGATTTGGATATTAAATTGTTGCAAGCTAAGCGACAACAGGCCGAGATGCGAAGGTAAGATGCAACAGTTCTTCCTCACTGGGCTCTAACACTTTACACTTCTTTTTTTTTTTTTTTTTTGTTCTATTTCTAATTGAACTGCTTACCACATTGCACTTATGTAGAAATCAGCGTGAGGAAGATTTGCGCGAGAATCACCCATTTTTTGATACACCACTGTTCGCAGTACCGCGCGAGAGTAAATTTCGCAAAATTTGCCAGTCGCTTGTTTACGCGAGATACGATACAAACGTAAAAGATCCATTGACTGGAAAAGAGAGAAAGGTTCAATATAAAAGCCTACAGTAAGTGCTTCCTACAGTGTAAATATTGATG